CACACACACACACACACACACACACACACACACACACACACACACACGGCTGATGGGAGTGTAGACAGCAGAGAAGGCACATGTGTGCGTGTGTATATTCTAAATGTAGATGCCAGATCGTGAGCTAAAATTACCCTTTCCTCACGCTGCTCTGGTACAGATATGAGAGAGTACAAATAAGGGAAAGCCGGGAGGGTGGAAAGGATAAAAGCGAGCGATTGGATCGTCAGGACAGAATGGGAGGAGAGGGAAAAGGTTTCAAACACGCAAGTTTTGAATTGTGAAAAAAGAAAACTTAACGCAGCAGAATTGTGTGGCGTTGCATTTTTGTCTCGATACCAGACTAGTTTTCAGCTTAACTACTGCAAACTTCTACAGAAAACAAGTTGAAAAGGACAAAAGGTTCATACTTCCATACAAGTTTATGATAAAAATCCAATGAAACGACATCATTGATTCATACAAAGTAGCATCATCAGCCAATTCAACTTAAGTTCTAATAAAAAAAAAAAGAAGATTAAATAAAAAGGTAGACAGAAACGCATTTATCAACATGTTCCAAACAAGAGGATCTTCATCTCTTCCTACAACGATCCGACAAAAATATTTATCAGTTACAACATGGCAGTCTTTTGTTCCACAAAAATACACAATAATATTATTAAAAATGAAGGGGAAAAAACATCTAGATTTACGCTACTCTATCGCCATGGCCAAGAGGATTATGGGGAGTAATTGTAATAACTGAGCCAGTTGTCTGATATCCTAAAGACAGGAAACCAAACCAACACAAAAAACTGGATGTGCGAGTTGGAAAGTGAAAAAGACAAAAAAAAAAAAGAGTTGGTGACAAATAGTCCGTCTTGATGTGATGCAGTTCAACGAGCAACATGTACTGTATATGCGTGCGTTTGTGCGAGTTTCTCAGTAGATTCGGCCTCGGCTCCTGTTGCCTCGGCCTCCGAAGCCTCGTCCCCGGCCGCCCCTGAAGCCGCCGCGCTGCTCTGGAGTGAAAACAAAACAAAACAAAACACGGATCAGCATGGAAATATGGTTATGACCCGACCAATGTTCAATTTCTGAGGCAGATACCTTTGTGAGAATTTAAAAATAATGCATATTAGGATTATTATTCAACATTGTGTTTGATAACCATATCGTTAAATCGATTGCTGAGCTAGACAGTTTACAGTCGAAAATAAACTCAGTGCCCTGTCAGCATCTATGTAATAATGACACCGTTTCTAAATGACCTCAAACTTATCTTTGGCATTTCTACACGTCAATTGATTGATATGCATTTGAGAGCTTGTTTGTCTTGTTCTTATAAAATGAGAAGAACTGCCTTAATATAGATAATACAGAGCTACAATAAAGAAGTGGATTACTCAGCAGGTGTAAGTTGATCATTTTGATTTGAATACATTGAACGGCTGTGAATCCAAGCTGACTGAAGCTGCCGTCCTCCACTAAGGAGCAATCCACAGACTTTTCAGACCAAATGAAATCCTCACTGACACAAATAGTAACCGCAGCTCTATCAAAAACACCCCAATGTGCAGTACATTAAAAAAAAAAAGATGCAACGGCTGCACAACAGTGTTTTAAAAAATAAATGAGCCACAGCGCTCCTCACCATAAGTGAAATTGCCGATGGTTGCGCTGAACTTGCCGCTGGGGGGATTGTAGATCTGCCGCGAGTCCCTCCGGGGCTGAGGCGAGACCTGTTTCTTTATGCCGTCGCCAGTGCCCATCTCCTCACCGGACGGGCGCTTGGGCCTGCACACACACGCACAAGAGAAAAGTAGGTCAGGACCCAATAGGACAGCAAGGACACACGGACGCTGTGTGTGTAGCTTCCGATGGCTGAATCAGTGGGAGCAGACTTACGCTGCTGCCTCGGCCTTCTGGACGGGTTTCCAGGACAGACTGACTGTGCTCTTGAATGATGGAGGGTTGTGGAAGAGATCCTGGAAAGAAATATAAAAATAGAACTATTGGTTACAATGCACAGTTGATCTGATGCATTCTGATGAGTTCGTCTGATGCACATAAGTTACCAGAAAAAGTAGAAACCCTGAACATTGTAAAGCAATCCTATGAAACAGTACTTCAAAAAATAACTCCACTGGAACAGTTGTATATTTCTCAAGCATTGCCGACAGTGTTAGAAAGGTTCTGTGTTTACGTCTATGTTGTTGCAGTGGATCTCATTATTATTTGAGGTGTTTCTGCTTCTCTAGATCCATAAATGGTGCGATTGATTCACGTTTTAACATTTTGCTGCTCAGCGTGACGACGACACAAAGTATCGCATGAAAACACCTCACCTTGATGAGGACGTTGATGTTGTTTGTGATCTTGAGGGCCACCACTTTGATCTTATTCTGATGACACAGAGAAGACGGGATAGTCCGTGATGTACACGTCACAGCAGAACTCAAGACAACGGACACGGCTCAGTTTGCATTTATTGTTGACAGCGGTCGTTACCTCGTCTGTCTTCAGAGCATCTCCGGACTTTCCTTGCAGTGCTACTCGCAGCTGTCTGATATAAACCTGCAGGCCTCTGGCAAAATACTGTAACCTGTTGAAACACAAAGCACATTCACTACCGTCTGAAAAGTGTCCGTTTTGGGATAAAATGACCACGGTGAGCTAAGCCACCAAACACACCCGACGTGCTCATCTATGTTACAAGTTCCACTCTACGAGATTTTCTTTGTGTGCCACTCCCTCACCTGATCTTGAAGTCTTTGAGGCGCTCAGCATCCACTTTCTCGATGAGGAAGTCCGGCAGCTTCTTGCCCAGCTGGTGGAAGCCGAAGAGGAGACACTCCACGTAGCTGAACTGCAGTTTGGGCTCCTCGCTTGCCGGGTTCTCTCCGTTCTCCGCTTCTTCTGGTGGCACAGGCATGAACTCCTACAGAAACAGGAAAAACATGAGCAGAATAATGTTGTTAGCTTTAATTTATTTTCATTTCAGCTTGGACCATTACAGGGTTCACTGGAACAAAGGGATAGTTTATTGTTCCACCAATATATATTTGAACGTTATTATCCATTACTACCGTGGACCCTGCACTAAAACTACCTCTACAATAAATCATTACGACTAGGGCCATCGTTTTAAGCTCCTCGAGTTGATTACAGTAACCCCTTTGTATTGTATAGATAATATTAACAACTCTGACAGCAGTATTTGTTAAACTGTAGGCTTTTAAAAGGGAAGGTTGTTGGTTCAAATACAGAGACCATATGGGACAATCTGACTAAGTAAAATGAGTAAGTCAAGTTCTTGAATGTCCCCCCAACTGCTATTAAATTATCCCTCGCCAGAAAATGAATCCTCATTTGGCCAGGGGCCCACAGTGAGAGGATGCACAACAACGTCAATGTAAAGCGGGAAAAGCTAAAAAAAGAGCAGTAGAATCTCAAAATAAAATCGGTGGGGACAACTGCCGACGTGTACTTTGATTTGTAAGTGTGTTTCCACTTGTATTCCTCCAGCTCCAAAAACAACAGGCCAATCAGTTCTCACCAGCAGCTTGGTAAACAGCATGTTGAGGTTGGGCTCCAGCTTCTCCATGTCTCCACAGTACGGACTCATCTCAGCCAGCAGCTTCAGCACCTACACACACACACACACACACACACACACACACACACACACACACACA